CAGAACTTTTGCTATCAAGTTGCTTCCTGATAATTTAACTTTATCGGACATATTTGTCCAGGCAAACGGGGTCCCACAAGGAAGGAACTTTATTTCTGTGTATGATAAATGACATCTTACCAGCTCCCTCTCGGAATCTTAAATACTCACTGTATGCTGATGATTGTGCATTATGGCATTCTGGCAATAATGCAAAATTCTCAGCAAATCGCATCCAATTGGCAATGGATATGATTCATAACTGGGGCCTCCAGTGGGGTTTTAAGTTTTCCACAAGAAAGAGTATTGGGATAATTTTTTCACGTAGGAGGATGCCGAACATCAGGCTAACTCTAGACAACCACCCAATACCTATTCAAAATTCTGCTAGATTTCTCGGTCTACTTTTTGATCGTAGACTTAATTGGAAAGACCACATTGGTCAGTTAAAGAATAGATGTCAAAAAGCACTTAATTTACTAATGTGCATTTCTGGACACAAATGGGGAGCTGACAGATAGTCTTTGCTAATGATATATAAAGCCCTGATTAGGTCTAAAGTCGATTCTGGGTAAGTCGTGTATGGTTCGGCATCAGACTCAAGATGTCTTGGAGCCCTCAAATGCGCAAGGATTGAGCGTCTAGAGGTGGAGTCAGGAGTACCTCCCCTCCGACTCGGACGCGGCCAGCTGGCGCTGACCTCTGCCGCGAAGGTGGCTCGAGACCCGAGCCACCCTAATGGTAATGGTGCCATTAGGCCCTTTACCACAAGCCTCCACGACCTCATCCAAAAAGTCGGTATAGATCTCTATACCATCGATACCCTGGTTTAAATAAATATAGTGCCATGGGAAACGCCCAATTTTACTATCATGGAAGCATGGCTTCCATCAGCCAAGGCCATGGCGCCGGAGGTGGAGGTACGCCACAGGTTCAGAGAGATCATGATCAAACATCTCCCTTTTTTCATATATATACCGACGGCTCCAAGACTGAGCAAATTGTGGGTGCAGGTGTATGGTCGACTGAATGTGAATTGAGTTTCAGACTGCCGAATCATACATCGAACTTTTTGCTATTGATAAAGCTAATGATTTTGCACTATCGATGACCCACGATAGAATATAAAATCATTAGAAACCACTCAAAATGGACTTCTGGGTAATATCATTCGTAAGCTACATAGTGCCAACAAATTAATCAAGCCGATATAGGTGCCAGGCCACTTTGGTATCCATGGCAATGAGCAGGCTGACAGATTAGCCGGGTCAACTGGCGAGCTGGACCTTAGTATAGTCCGTTCAGATCTCAGGTGTTTTGTTTCTCTTATAAAAGCAAAAATTCATCTCCTGTGGCAAAGTGCGTGGACCAACCTGTAGCTGACCAACAAAATCAGAGACAATATAGAGATGTGGGACACAGCCCACAGGAAAAATAGAAGGGATGAGGTGGTGTTGGCCCGCCTCAGTCAATGCCACCAGACTCACTCACCTCACACCCTATATAGAGAGAACTTTCCCTCCAGTATGTCCCCACTAACTATAAACTACATCCTTGCAATATGTCAGCACTATAACCAACAAAGAAATTTAATAAATTATTTCCAGATAAAAAATAATTTACACTATCAAACATCCTATCAAATGATGAAAGAATAATTCGTAAAGTAATTGCTTTTCTAAGGGAGAAAACTGACCTTTAGATTGAAAGAATAAATAGGATCCATTGGCTTAATAACCTTGGCCATATGCCGCTGGTTGATAGCCAAGAAATCAAACAGAAGTTAAAAGAAGTGTAAGGAGCTATAGTGCTTTCACCTGAGAGAAACGAAGAAAATGGACTCCTCTGCTGCTTCTGATTTTGCTGTGCGCGGTAAGTTGCCTCTGAGTTTAGTTGTCATAATTATTGGATAACTTTTGTTTGTGAGTATTGTATGTCCCTTTATGAACATTTATTGTAACGCGTCGATTACGATTTTTAATGTTTTGTTTGTCTTTAATTTTCAGTCATTTCGTCGGTTGCTTTGACATTCCTGCTAATGATTTTATGACGTAGTCCACGGAGGCTCTGCACTTTGCACTTTGCGAGTATATTCTGAGCATACTGCTATTGTAAGGATTATTGGTTATTTATATTTGTGATTTTTTTTTCCGTTTTGATATTTATAGCCCTGTTTTTTTGTGTGTATTATGTCTGTTATATGCACAATCGTAATTTCTGTGTGATAGTGTTTGATTTCTTATTGCTGTTATTTATGAGTATACATGTGGATGCCGATTTGGTCTACGATCTCGGCAATAGGAAGAGAAAACGCTCATCGGAGGACGACGACGATGATACGTTGCGAGTGGACCTGCGAATGCAAACAACCAGAGGAGCAGGAAAGAAACGCACTCTACAGCTGGTGGAAAACTTTCGTTGCCTGCAACAGGGGTGAACCGCATGCTTCCACCCCTGAATATTCGAGGCCTTCCCCGATGCCCTCCTCCATATGTGCTCTTCTCCCACGTGAGACAAGGAGAAAAGTTTCCGGGAAAGGTAGAGATAGTCCCCTCTGGCAGCCCTCAGCCCTCTTGCAATCTTTCAGCTTCCCCCTGATAGCCCTACATCGCCTGCTTACAACCCGGGTGTGACGTCTAAAACAACTTATTCTGCTCCCGAACCAATGTGCTGCCCCAACCCCGATGACTTCTTTAATTTGAGGACAAGTCAGGTGAGGGGCGGATCAGATCCCCCCCCCACCCCCCTCAGGACGGTTTAGAACCTCTTCCATCCAGCACGGTGTTTGGAACGCCTCGTCCTGCTCTCGAGCCTATCATTTTGTTCCCTAATCGTAATCCCTCTCCTTCATATTGTCCTGATGACTCCTCTAATATAAGGACAAATGCAACTTTTCCTTCGTTAAAAAAGGATACGTAAACTCTCAAAGTTATATACGTGGAGCCGTGTTCTTTCACAGATCTCGCAGTCAATTGATTTGGCTTTTTGGGATTCGCCTAATTAACATTCATATGTTTTAATAGATGGAATTATCTCCAATAAAATATAACCATTACTTTGTGTATCCATTATCCTTATCACACAGATATATATGCTGAGATATGAAATGTGTAAAGGATCACCATTCAAATGGCCTTGATATTTATTGTATAAAAATGAATAGAGGGGGTGGCCAACTCGGCTTTTTCCTTGGAAAGTTATTTTCTGTTGACGTACGCCATGCAAGGTCATCTCTAGTAGCCATTTCTCCGAGTCAGAGCACCACAATCAATGATCCTTTACTTTTGTTTTATCTATCTACGTACATCTTAAGGGGTATTGTCTCCAATCATTTATCCAAGATTACACCAAGGCTGGGCAGTCGCACATTACAGACAGATGTGCACCTGTGCATTATGGGTACCGCGATGCACCTGGGACATGACCCCATTTTACAAGGAGGAATTTACAGTTCTAACTTTCTCCTGCGTAACTAACACCTCAATCAATGATCATTTATACTCGTATTTTAATGTATTCTCCAATAATCAGTTAACCAAGATTACAACATGCCTCGACAGGGGCACATTATGCTAGGTACCAGGGGCGTGACGTCATTTCCGGGTGCCATCTCCAGTTCTAACCCTCACCTACGTACGTGGCACATGGGCGAGATAATTATAATGAGCCGAAATGTCCCTTCCGGCACTACTTGGGTGTTTTGATGTGGGATTGATTAAGAATATGGCCCTGAAGGTTTAATGTCACTATGGGACTATGGCTCTGCCTTTGATTATGCCCAGTTGGAAGACCAGCTGAAGTGACATCAGATGAAATTTCCGCTGCGATGACGTTCAGTTTGCTACATGGCCGAGGTCCAAGGTAGAGGTGATCCTCTACATTAGGCCCAAGTCTCCATTTCCTAAGTCCCCATAGCAACAAGCAAGGTATTGGAAGGGTGCGATAATGTGCAAATAATTCGTATAAAGCAGTAAAGGTGGTATTTTCAAAGTTGCAAGTCCAAAAGAACCGTTTTGGGGGTTCTACTAGATGCGTTTGTTGTTTTTGTTTTTAAATCTTTTTCACATCATGGCTATTATGGTATGCAAAGATTCTAAGCTTTTACTATATCAATCGTGATTATAGCAAGGAACCCAAAGTAGTGTTCAAGGGTCTAGAAAAAAAAAACGAAAAATTAAGCTGATGTAGATTACCAGGAGTTGGAAGGAGCAAGTGTTTGGCATTACTTTAAAATTAGGGACAGAGGTTTTAACCCGTCTATAGATATCTAATTTTGGGCCATCGAAAATGAAGGCCAATACTCGCTTGTGCTCATGGGCACTGCTTGATCATGTGAACGATAATTTGGCCCCATCTGCACAATGAGCGGTACCTCCCTACAGGCAAACTATTTCCTAGTCCTGGTAGGACACAGGAATGAGAACTAATGACATCATTAGCGAGAATAAATTAATCTAGTAGTGAAGCCTGGTCACAAATGTACTCATTTAATTCAGAACAGGCAGATTTGGCAGTCAAGACCGAGATTTAAATTGTGGCATTCTAGCTCCACGACATGCGCAGTATTTGCAATTTAGTAATACTACACTGTCCACATCGGAGACCTGACTGGTATTTCGATGAATTGTTCACGTTCTCTCTGCAAATGGCTGTCAATTACTTTCCAATCCGGTGAATTGGAACATGATTTGACAATCAGCCAACACAGGCATTCTTTCCTCACACGGCTTTTAAAGCATGTGGTCTAAGTTGGTACTAAGGACAAAGATTAACTCTGGGGAGTCAAAATTATTCTCCTCATATGGTACTTAGCTTTGGCTTATCTGGTAAGAGCAGGACGGTGGTAGGCATTCTCGATTACTCTGCTCTAAAATTATTTCCTATACATTTATTTTTGTACTGTCAAACATGAAAGTAACTTCCACATTTAACCAATTTTACGTCAAAAGATTTAAAAAAAAAAGGTTTAGATTATACTTTAGGGTTCAGTAAAAAGAACGAAAAATTAAAGCAATATTTAATCCAGGTCTACATAAGAATGCATTATAAATTCTTTTGAAAGTGCAAGACATTTAAATATATGTTATTCGTTCATTTATTAGCTTCCTATCCAAACAAAATTTCAACAATTTTCACAAAATTATGAAATAATGGTCATTGCTTCATTAAAAGATCGAGGGCTAAATACTTAATAAGTCTGGGCAGTGATGGCATTTATCCAATTCTTGTTCCGTAGTATGTCCGTGATGATAGTAGTGGACGACTCTCCACAATTTGGTGAACCGTAAGATAAAATGCCAGCAATGAAATAGTGTTTCTCTGCGCAGCGATATTTGTCGCATGGCACCGGCTCATCCTCATTTGTCAGAGGGCATACCACTGCTCCACCGCCGTCGCCCTGCAAATGTGCATTTAGCAAGATGCTGTCAATGTTCTTTTAATAAATGTAAATGTATTCCACTACAACTTTTGAAACGGCACAAGAACTTACTACACATGCATCCTTCCCATATTCGCCAATGATACACTTTTGATGCTCCTCGTCTAGATTGAAGGAAGGATCAAGGGTACCATCCTTAAAGGAACTGAATAGTTTCGCTCTGCACTCGTCATGATCACCAGTGTAAAGGACGGACACAGACCGCAGGATATTGCTGCCGAAATTTGGCTGTAGGGGGAAAAAAGTATTTAATAAAGTTCTCATATGTCAACAGTGCTGACTGCCGTCCTCCATTGCCAAACATTATAATGTTTCACCTTGTACACGTCATCTCCCCAGCCGACAATGAAGCACTTTTTGTGGTCTTTGAAGGGTTTTGTAGGCAAACAAACCGGGCTAATATGAGGAGTCTTCGTAAAATCGACAGGGGATGACATCTTCAGCACGGCTATGTCATGGGCATAAGTAGCAGGATTGAATCTGAAAAATAGTAATGTCCACTCCAATAGACCAGACCTTTAATTCAACTTGAAAGTAAAGGTATGTTTTTCTTGTAAAATATGATCACCATTTGGTTCTAGAACCTTGCCAATATACACATTTAATTACAGCCAAACCACAGGAACTGGTTCAGCATTTGGGTTTCATCTTACCCGCTGTGTATGTGCACATTAGCAATTTCTCGCTCCACAGCTGGGAACAACTCGCCGGTGGTTCCCTGGAGATTCCATTCACCAAGATGAACTTTAAGCCTATTCACTCTCTCGCCTAGTCAGGAGAAAATAGATTACACATTGTCCACAGATTTACTACAAAACCTAAATAATGTTGCTCACCGAAAACACAATGGGCAGCTGTGACAATGTGTTTGTCGTCGATAAGTGATCCTCCACATTTGTAGCGCACATCCTCCCGCGGCCGCAGATTGTAAACGTTCGGTCTTCGAAAGACCCGCTCTCTCACCAGCAAAGCCACCTGATAAACATGAAATTAGCATGTGGTTAATTTGTTGGCTACACATATGGATGCACAAGTTTAATAACGAATGAATTTTTGTATGAAGTATTCCATTATTGCTGTTACTGTTAAGAAAAAAAGAGCCTATTGGTGCGTCCTCGGCGGAGAGCGTGATTTTACATGCACGCATTTGCGGTTCATTGTGATACGAGAAAAAAAAATCAATTGCAAGTTTGGTAAGTTGCTAGCTTCACGTAGCATGTAGATTAACTCCATGCAAGTAGTTTATCAGGACATCCACCAACTAATTCAATCCCTAATAACATTAATTACAGGCTTGATTTCCACTTTAAAGATTCACACTTGTATAAAATATTAATGTTGTGTTAACAACACATTACATATTACAGAAACTGACAATCCTACTTTTTGTTTAATAGAAATTTATGTATATGATAAAGTTTGTGCAGACCGCAAAATGTATCTGCAAATAAGGAACCATAACTGGATGCGCCTCCCAAGTAAACAAAATATCTGCATTTAGTCGAGCCAAAATTGTCCGATCATTTTTCAGTTATCTTAAAGAGAGGACTCTCAATGACAAAACTTTTGTAGTTTATATTTTTCACGCCCAAACGAAATGAAGACGTTAAAGTATTATCAAGCTATGTATTTTTTTTTTACCCATATTTACCATTCGTTCATCCACTAATACTAGGTAATGCAGTCCTGAACCGATCCACTTCATAATTCCTTCATCTTAACGAGATCATTAACAATAAGTGAATAATAAGCATAAAGTCTGTAGGCTTAATCTAGAACCAAATACAACTTATTACTGCTATAATGGGTCAAATACAGACGCCAGTACAAGCTATTGCAGCCACTACCACACTACGATAACTCACAAAAAAAATCAACAATGGTATTGTTTGGTTTGTGTTCCATACAACCTTACTGGCTGAACTCCCTGAACCAACAATGTAGTCTAGCAAGTAATATACTATATCATTCAATACTATCAGTTGCTGATATCCCTTCAGTTACATACAACCAACCTAGTATCCATCCGAATACATTCTAAGGGTCAGCTACTTTGTGATCTAATTTTACATTGCCGATCGTCATAAACTGGAAGTCCAAGGGATGCTCCAACAGGACTACTAGCTCTCTCAGCTTTAGAAATTTAGTTTGAACAGTAGCCTCCCTAGCACAGCTGGTTTGCTTAAACTGGATACAAGCTACTAGTTTTCATGGCGACCGTATCTGCTGACAACTACCATGCCAGGCTTCCAAAATAAGCATCGACCTTGCCTTGTAGCAATAAACCAAAGTCATCAAGGGCACACATCTCCATTGATATCAGAATGCGGTTGTACCTGAAATCACAACGCAACGACCCCCCCCCCAAAAAAAAAAAAAAAAAAAAAAAAAAAGTATACTTGCATGCCATGGGAATTCTCCATAGCTAGTGAAACCTCGTTCATACAGATAACCTGAAGACACCCTCGACAGCAACTGCGGACTCTCATGTCGAACACCGCATTCCTGTGTGTAGAAACTTGACTTCAATACTGAAATATGACCTTTAGCATTAACCATTATCACATTGCATAGTAGAAAATAGTCGCCCACATTATATGTTTAAATCAATAATCGACTTTTGATGAAGTTGCTTTTTGAAATTTGAAATAAAAAACACTCGCCTTCGTGTATCTGAAGTTGTGCAGCATTTCTTTCGCATGTGGTGAAAGAATAGGTCCGTAAGCGGATTCGTAATTGTCATCATAGAAATCCATATATAGTACCGTTTTCTTCTGATTTTGGGGTCGCTGAGGTCTTTGCGGGCGTTGTGGTCTCCCAGCGAAATGAGGTCGTTTCCGTCGACGGTTCTCTCTCCTAACAAAGCAGAACAGGATTAAAGGCAAAGGTAAACATTCTAGTGCTCTACCGTTCCCACACCGACTAAAAGTTACCTTGGAGTTTCACGTCTTAATCGATCTGAAGGCTGGTCCATGACGCAACAAATCTTTTGACCCGAACATGTGAAATTTGGTCTGCGATCTGCAATTCAGAAAAGTAGATAAAAAACAAACAACAATTACCAATGACCTGCCTCAGAGTTCAAGTTGGAGCCCGGAAGCGAGTCTTCAAACTCTGCTGTAAGATACTTTAACCTAAACTACTTTAACTAGGCACTGTCAAGGCTACAGCTACTTCCATTGGTGAATAATCCCTTTAAATTTGATCAAATGTAATTTTGTCATAATACCGGTCGCTGCTACTTCGCGTCTGAAACCGCAACAAAGCCTACTCCTGCAAGGAATTTATACATCCTAATCAATAAAATGCACAGCAGCAAGCACAACCCCTTGATTAGTGTTTAGACGTCATGCAACGCCAGCACAACATATGATACTTATTTCATAGTCTATAGGCTGCACATGTAGTTTTAGGTGCCATTCTTTAAATCTTAAAAACAAGCGTTTAATATGGTTTCACATGTACGCACATGGCATTTATCTGGCCGTGATTTTTCATTTTCTATTTTCGGTTAGCCTTACTCTCCACCATTGCCACTGGCTGCAACGTACTTAAATACTTTGGTGGCTCCATAGTAGGCATTACATTATGGAGAAAATGTGCACTTCTGTTGTATACAATATGAAAAGCATGACCATATAGGCATGCACTGCATTACGTATGAATTTCTTTAAAGTGAAGAAAATTAAACTAATTTGCTCATCTTTTCCATTCGACCATAAAATGCACACGTATGTACTGTACCCCCGTGTGCCCGCACCCCTGTGTGTGCTCTGTGCGTGCCATGTATGTATGTAATGTGTATGTATGTGTGTGTATGTATGTATGTATGTA